ACACTATGATGTAAGGATAGATATCATTATTCTGGTATGATATGACACTGTGATGTAAGGATAGATATCATTATTGTGGTATGATATGACACTGTGATGTAAGGATAGATATCATTATTGGGGTATGATATGACACTGATGTAAGGATAGATATCATTATTCTGGTATGATATGACACTGTGATGTAAGGATAGATATCATTATTGGGGTATGATATGACACTGTGATGTAAGGATAGATATCATTATTCTGGTATGATATGGCACTGTGATGTAAGGATAGATATCATTATTCTGGTATGACACTGTGATGTAAGGATAGATATCATTATTGTGGTATGATATGACACTGTGATGTAAGGATAGATATCATTATTGTGGTATGATATGACACTGTGATGTAAGGATAGATATCATTATTGGGGTATGATATGACACTGTGATGTAAGGATATATATCATTATTCTGGTATGATATGACACTGTGATGGAAGGATAGATATCATTATTGGGGTATGATATGACACTGTGATGTAAGGATTGATATCATTATTGGGGTATGATATGACACTTTGATGTAAGGATAGATATCATTATTCTGGTATGATATGACACTGTGATGTAAGGATAGATATCATTATTCTGGTATGATATGACACTTTGATGTAAGGATAGATATCATTATTCTCGTATGATAAGACACTTTGATGTAAGGATAGATATCATTATTCTGGTATGATATGACACTGTGATGTAAGGATAGATATCATTATTGGGGTATGCTATGACACTGTGATGTAAGGATAGATATCATTATTCTGGTATGATAAGACACTTTGATGTAAGGATAGATATCATTATTCTGGTATGATATGATACTATGATGTAAGGATAGATATCATTATTGGGGTATGATATGACACTGTGATGTAAGGATAGATATCATTATTGGGGTATGATATGACACTGTGATGTAAGGATATATATCATTATTCTGGTATGATATGACACTATGATGTAAGGATAGATATCATTATTCTGGTATGATATGACACTGTGATGTAAGGATAGATATCATTATTCTGGTATGATATGACACTGTGATGTAAGGATAGATATCATTATTGGGGTATGATATGACACTGTGATGTAAGGATAGATATCATTATTGGGGTATGGTATGACACTGTGATGTAAGGATAGATATCATTATTGTGGTATGATATGACACTGTGATGTAAGGATAGATATCATTATTGGGGTATGATATGACACTGTGATGTAAGGATATATATCATTATTGGGGTATGATGTGACACTGTGATGTAAGGATATATCATTATTGGGGTATGATATGACACTGTGATGTAAGGATAGATATCATTATTGGGGTATGATGTGACACTGATGTAAGGATAGATATCATTATCGGGGTATGATATGACACTGTGATGTAAGGATAGATATCATTATTCTGGTATGATATGACACTGTGATATAAGGATAGATATCATTATCGGGGTATGATATGACACTGTGATGTAAGGATAGATATCATTATTGGGGTATGATGTGACACTGTGATGTAAGGATAAATATCATTATTGGGGTATGATATGACACTGTGATGTAAGGATAGATATCATTATTGGGGTATGATATGACACTGTGATGTAAGGATAGATATCATTATTGGGGTATGATATGACACTGTGATATAAGGATATATATCATTATCGGGGTATGATATGACACTGTGATGTAAGGATAGATATCATTATTGGGGTATGATATGACACTGTGATGTAAGGATAGATATCATTATTGGGGTATGATATGACACTGTGATGTAAGGATAGATATCATTATTGGGGTATGATATGTCACTGTGATGTAAGGATAGATATCATTATTGGGGTATGATATGACACTGTGATATAAGGATAGATATCATTATCGGGGTATGATATGACACTGTGATGTAAGGATAGATATCATTATCGGGGTATGATATGACACTGTGATGTAAGGATAGATATCATTATTGGGGTATGATATGACACTGTGATGTAAGGATAGATATCATTATTGGGGTATGATATGACACTGTGATGTAAGGGTAGATATCATTATCGGGGTATGATATGACACTGTGATGTAAGGATAGATATCATTATTGGGGTATGATATGACACTGTGATGTAAGGATAGATATCATTATCGGGGTATGATATGACACTGTGATGTAAGGATAGATATCATTATTGGGGTATGATGTGACACTGTGATGTAAGGATAGATATCATTATTGGGGTATGATATGACACTGTGATGTAAGGATAGATATCATTATTGGGGTATGATGTGACACTGTGATGTAAGGATAGATATCATTATTGGGGTATGATATGACACTGTGATGTAAGGATAGATATCATTATTCTGGTATGATATGACACTGTGATATAAGGATAGATATCATTATTGGGGTATGATATGACACTGTGATGTAAGGATAGATATCATTATTGGGGTATGATGTGACACTGTGATGGAAGGATAGATATCATTATTGGGGTATGATATGACACTGTGATGTAAGGATAGATATCATTATTGGGGTATGATGTGACACTGTGATGTAAGGATAGATATCATTATCGTGGTATGATATGACACTGTGATGTAAGGATAGATATCATTATTGGGGTATGATATGACACTGTGATGTAAGGATAGATATCATTATCGGGGTATGATATGACACTGTGATGTAAGGATAGATATCATTATTGGGGTATGATATGACACTGATGTAAGGATAGATATCATTATTTGGGTATGATATGACACTGTGATGTAAGGATATATATCATTATTCTGGTATGATATGACACTGTGATGTAAGGATAGATATCATTATTGGGGTATGATGTGACACTGATGTAAGGATAGATATCATTATCGGGGTATGATATGACACTGTGATGTAAGGATAGATATCATTATCGGGGTATGATATGACACTAATGTAAGGATAGATATCATTATTAGGGTATGATATGACACTGTGATGTAAGGATAGATATCATTATTGGGGTATGATGTGACACTGTGATGTAAGGATAGATATCATTATCGGGGTATGATATGACACTGTGATGTAAGGATAGATATCATTATCGGGGTATGATATGACACTGTGATGTAAGGATAGATATCATTATTCTGGTATGATATGACACTGTGATGTAAGGATAGATATCATTATTGGGGTATGATATGACACTGTGATGTAAGGATAGATATCATTATTGGGGTATGTTGTGACACTGTGATGTAAGGATAGATATCATTATCGGGGTATGATATGACACTGTGATGTAAGGATAGATATCATTATTGGGGTATGATATGACACTGTGATGTAAGGATAGATGTCATTATTGGGGTATGTTGTGACACTGTGATGTAAGGATAGATATCATTATCGGGGTATGATATGACACTGTGATGTAAGGATAGATATCATTATCGGGGTATGATGTGATGTAAGGATAGATATCATTATCGGGGTATGATGTGATGTAAGGATAGATATCATTATTGGGGTATGATATGTCACTGTGATGTAAGGATAGATATCATTATTCTGGTATGATATGACACTGTGATGTAAGGATAGATATCATTATTGGGGTATGATATGACACTGTGATGTAAGGATAGATATCATTATTGGGGTATGTTGTGACACTGTGATGTAAGGATAGATATCATTATCGGGGTATGATATGACACTGTGATGTAAGGATAGATATCATTATTCTGGTATGATATGACACTGTGATGTAAGGATAGATATCATTATTGGGGTATGTTGTGACACTGTGATGTAAGGATAGATATCATTATCGGGGTATGATATGACACTGTGATGTAAGGATAGATATCATTATCGGGGTATGATGTGATGTAAGGATAGATATCATTATCGGGGTATGATGTGATGTAAGGATAGATATCATTATTGGGGTATGATATGTCACTGTGATGTAAGGATAGATATCATTATTCTGGTATGATATGTCACTGTGATGTAAGGATAGATATCATTATTGGGGTATGATATGTCACTGTGATGTAAGGATAGATATCATTATTGGGGTATGATATGACACTGTGATGTAAGGATAGATATCATTATCGGGGTATGATATGACACTGTGATGTAAGGATAGATATCATTATTCTGGTATGATATGACACTGTGATGTAAGGATAGATATCATTATTGGGGTATGATATGACACTGTGATGTAAGGATAGATATCATTATTGGGGTATGTTGTGACACTGTGATGTAAGGATAGATATCATTATTGGGGTATGATATGACACTGTGATGTAAGGATAGATATCATTATTGGGGTATGATATGACACTGTGATGTAAGGATAGATATCATTATCGGGGTATGATATGACACTGTGATGTAAGGATAGATATCATTATTCTGGTATGATATGACACTGTGATGTAAGGATAGATATCATTATCGGGGTATGATATGACACTGTGATGTAAGGATAGATATCATTATCGGGGTATGATGTGATGTAAGGATAGATATAATTATCGGGGTATGATGTGATGTAAGGATAGATATCATTATTGGGGTATGATGTGACACTGGTGATTCAGTCAGTTCATGTTTAACATTTCTTCATTTTTTGCATAGACCAATTGGCAACATTGGAGCTAAATCATAGGCCTACTACATTTAGCTCCAAATGCATGCAATGCTGTGATTAACTTATGATTTAATACATTTAGCATAATTGTTGCATCGCTAGTTTATTCTGACTGTTTTGATTGTTTTTGTGCTTTTTTTGAATAACATTGTAAAATTGATGTATCTTCTATGTGTGATATGTTAGTCATGTGATGAGCAAGCTTCCTTGTCGTACTAAAACCTATCTGTTTGAATGTACTGTACAGGAAGAGAGTGGCTGCAAAGCATCTAATTGAGCGGTACTTTCGCCAGTTAACAGAGGGCTGTGGAAATGGGGCCTGCACCAATGAGTTCTGTGCTTCGCATCTTGGTTTTCAACCGCTGGATCACAACACAGCGGCTATCAGAGCCCTCGAGCTGTGTAAAATGAACGCCAAACTGTGTGGTCACCCCTCCGCTGTCTTCCCTGACAACAACAGTGCCAAAGAGACACAACCTGCCTTATTGGGTGACCGCCACGGGAAGATGACAGACCACAAAGACCACCTGTTTCCCCCTAGGGAAGACTTCAGAGGTAAACATAATACTTTTCACAGAAACACACAGTGGCTGAGTCCTAAAATGGCACCTTGTATAGTGCACTACTTTTGACCAGACCCTTTTTTTCTCTATTGCTATTCAATATTCATTCATTTTTAGAGAGAATCAAATGGTGGCCCATGCATTCATTTTCTCTGTGATCTTTGTGTTTCCAGAGGTGCATTACCTGACAGAAGAGAAGGTGTATGAGATCCTGAGTATCTGTGAGGGGAAGAAGGACTACTCTCCTCTGATCCGAGTCATCGGGAGGATCTTCTCCAGCGCAGAGGGTCTGGTGCAGAGCTTCAGGAAAGACAAGGAACAACACCCCAACACCAAGGAGCAGCGCAAGACCCACCAGGCCAAAGATGAGGACAAGGACGAGGACGACAAGGAGAGAACCAGCGCCATGGAGCAGGAATCAGAGGAATCAGAGGCCTCGGCGTCCATGGAGGGAGCGACGGGAGCGACGGAGATCACACTGGGTCCTGTAGAGGTCTCAGTGGACATAGAAGCTGTCAGGAGAGTGTACGACAGACTCCTCTCCAACGAGAAGATGGAAGCAGCCTTCCTCAACGCGCTGGTCTACCTGACCCCCAACGTAGAGCTGGATCTAACCTATCTAGACGTCTACGACACCAACCCAGACTACCTAAACATCTTCATCATCGTGATGGAGAACAGCAACCTCCACAGCCCAGAGTACCTGGAGACGGCTATGCCCCTGTTCTGTAAGTGCATGAGTAAACTCCCCCTGCCTGCCCAGGCCAAGCTGACGCGCCTGTGGTCTCAGTACAGTGTAGAACACATCAGAAGTATGATGGAGACCTTCCAGCAGCTTATCACCTACACGGTAACGTTACATTCTTTATTCGATTTGAGATTTTTTATTTCATTCATGCTCCCAGTCAACAAGACTGAATTATGCAGAATGCACAGTTACATGCTTAATATTCTTTGTGTTTTGTCCTTTTCTGCCAACCTAGAGCTTTGATTCCTCTATAATGAATATACTAACTCAATCTAAATCAGAGATTTGTCACATGCACAGGATATGTGAAATGCTTAGCTGTTATGCAAATTAAATGTATTATTATCATTGTTAAGGTAATCAGCAACGAGTACGACAGCGACAGTCTGGTGAACGATGACGAGTGTGTGGTAGCCGCTGCCAAGTGTCTGAAGGTACTGACTTTACTCTTACTGGTCTGTTAACAATACCTAGGAGTAGAACCAATGTACTGGTCTGTTAACAATACCTAGGAGTAGAACCAATGTACTGGTCTGTTAACAATACCTAGGAGTAGAACCAATGTACTGGTCTGTTAACAATACCTAGGAGTAGAACCAATGTACTGGTCTGTTAACAATACCTAGGAGTAGAACCAAGGTACTGGTCTGTTAACAATACCTAGGAGTAGAACAATTTTTTCATTGATGAAAAATGTATGATCCACCCAATTTGGGTATCTCACCGCACCCTCATATGCCATGTCTTGAAAAAATGTATTGTTTTACTGTAAAGCGTTCTGCGATTTTTAAATGCATGTTAAGTAAAGTTTGATTCTATTTGAAGCTGGTGTTCTACGCCAACGTCCTGGGAGGAGACCTGGATACGGGTCACAACGAGGAGGAGGAGGAGGAAGAGGAGGCATCAGAGTCCAGCGAGCTCACTCTGCAGGACCTCCTGGGGGAGGAGAGGAGGAACAAGAAGGGGCCCCGGGTCGACCCTCTGGAGAAGGTGAGACGACCACAATGAAATAAGTTCTCCAACTTTCTGTGTTATCCACAATGATTTTAAATACTTTTTGATTTTAAATCAAAAAGGAGCTGGGTGTCAGGACCCTGGATTGCAGACGACCCCTCATTCCCTTCGAGGAGTTTGTCAACGAGCCTCTAAACGATGTTCTAGAGATGGACAAGGACTTCACCTTCTTCAAGGTGGACTCCGAGAGTAAGTTCTCCTTCCAGACCTGCCCATTCATCCTCAACGCCTGCACAAAGAGCCTGGGTCTTTACTACGACAACCGCATCAGTATGTACAGCGAGAGGAGGATCACTGCCCTGTACAGCCTGGTGCAAGGACAGCAGCTCAACCCATACCTCCGGCTCAAAGTACGGCGAGACCACATCATCGACGACGCCCTCGTCAGGGTGAGTCACAAACAACACAGATGCGCACACACACACACACACACACACTTGTTGGTGTAATGTTGAAGGGGAACTGCACCCGCTGATTTGGCCTCGTTTTTTGGCTTGCTCCTCAAGAAATGCTGGCGGCCATGACAGAAGCCAAATGTGAGCTGGGGGTGTGGTTTGATGTGGGTGTTTTCTTGGGTGTGTCCTTGCCACCACCAAGACACACCCATCTGTCAGAACCTTGACCGCAACTGTTTTCCTCCAACTCAATCACAACAAACAAACCTCCTGCAGGTTGAGTTCAATAACTACAGGCAGATGTATGGTGAGATGCCGGAGGAAACTTTGAATAGGTCAGTAGCCTACAGAGTAATATGAGAAGAATGCAATTGCTGAATTTCTGTAGATGTTCTAAACTAAGTGTTTTGATAACTTTCAAATGAAGTAACAGGTCCTTGTAGAATAAACAACCCTTCACATAATACCATAGAAGCAGTGTTCTTCCTGTGTGTAGTTCCCTGATCCTGGTGCAGAATACACAGGGTTTCTCCCTCCCCATATTGACTGATGCCATTCATTTCAATAATAAAAAAATAAAAAACAATACAAGTAATGGTTGTCTAATAAAATTAGTAAAATTCTAGTAAGATTTTTGTGCCGAGTGCCAAGTCTCTCTGCATTTAGAGACATCAGTATCAAGCCCGTCAGTCTGGACTTCATCACATCATCTTCCAAGTCTCTCTGCATTTAGAGATATCAGTATCAAGCCTGTCTGTCAGTACCAGGTCTCTCTCCATTTAGAGATATCAGTATCAAGCCCGTCAGTCTGGACTTCATCACATCATCTTCCAAGTCTCCATGTTCCAGCTCCATACATGTTTCTGTGAACACACACACACAGTCACTGTTCTATTACCAATGGCAGTTAGGATAGGTGATATCTGACACACACAGTCACTGTTCTATTACCAATGGCAGTTAGGATAGGTGATATCTGACACACACAGTCACTGTTCTATTACCAATGGCAGTTAGGATAGGTGATATCTGACACACACAGTCACTGTTCTATTACCAATGGCAGTTAGGATAGGTGATATCTGACAAACAAACAGGTACTATGTTGAAGTTTGAACAGGTCAGACTAAACCTACCTAATTCTGGTCTCCCCATCAAACGACCGAGGCTGGCGTCTGGCAAAAGCAGTCGACAGTCCTCTCCATCTATAGAAATAGGCGGAGTTGAGACAGAGTTCATCAGTGACACATACTGGACATTTCTGCTGTACTGTACTATAATAATATCCCATTTAGCAGACGCTTTTATCCAAAGCGACTTACGGTCATGTGTGCATACATTTTTACGTATGGGTGGTCCCGGGGATCGAACCCACTACCCTGGCGCCATGCTCTACCAATTGAGCTATCACCTTCAGTCCCACATTGTGGATGTGTTGAGTGCCAGGTCTCGCTCCATTCAGAGACGTCAGTATGAAGCCCGTCTGTCAGAGTGCCAGGTCTCGCTCCATTCAGAGACGTCAGTATCAAGCCCGTCTGTCAGAGTGCCAGGTCTCGCTCCATTCAGAGACATCAGTATGAAGCCCGTCTGTCAGAGTGCCAGGTCTCGCTCCATTCAGAGACGTCAGTATCAAGCCCGTCTGTCAGAGTGCCAGGTCTCGCTCCATTCAGAGACATCAGTATCAAGCCCGTCTGTCAGAGTGCCAGGTCTCGCTCCATTCAGAGACGTCAGTATGAAGCCTGTCTGTCACGACTACATCACATCTTGCAAGTCTCCATGTGAACTAGCTAGCTAAAGAGAGAGGTGGTGTAAAAGTATTTGATCCCCTGCTGATTTTGTACGTTTGCCCACTGACAAAGAAATGATCAGTCTATAATTTTAATGGTAGGTTTATTTGAACAGTGAGAGACAGAATAACAACAACAAAAAATCCAGAAAAACACATGCCAAAATGTTATAAATTGATTTGCATTTTAATGAGAGAAATACGTATTTGACCCCCTCTCAATCAGAAAGATTTCTGTCTCCCAGGTGTCTTTTATACAGGTAACGAGCTGAGATTAGGAGCACACTCTTGAAGGGAGTGCTCATAATCTCAGCTTGTTACCTGAATAAAAGACACCTGTCCATATAAGCAATCAATCAATCAGATTCCAAACTCTCCACCATGGCCAAGACCAAAGAGCTCTCCAAGGATGTCAGGGACAAGATTGTAGACCTACACAAGGCTGGAATGGGCTACAAGACCATCGCCAAGCAGCTTGGTGAGAAGGTGACAACAGTTGGTGCGATTATTCGCAAATGGAAGAAACACAAAAGAACTGTCAATCTCCCTCGGCCTGGGGCGCCATGCAAGATCTCACGTCGTGGAGTTGCAATGATCATGAGAACGGTGAGGAATCAGCCCAGAACTACACGGGAGGATCTTGTCAATGATCTCAAGGCAGCTGGGATCATAGTCACCAAGAAAACAATTGGTAACACACTACGCCGTGAAGGACTGAAATCCTGCAGCGCCCGCAAGGTCCCCCTGCTCAAGAAAGCACATATAAATGCCCGTCTGAAGTTTGCCAACGAACATCTGAATGATTCAGAGGAGAACTGGGTGAAAGTGTTGTGGGCAGATGAGACCAAAATGGAGCTCTTTGGCATCAACTCAACTCGGAGGAGGAGGAATGCTGCCTATGACCCCAAGAACACCATCCCCACCGTCAAACATGGAGGTGGAAACATTATGCTTTGGGGGTGTTTGTCTGCTAAGGGGACAGGACAACTTCACTGCATCAAAGGGACGATGGACGGGGCCATGTACCGTCAAATCTTGGGTGAGAACCTCCTTCCCTCAACCAGGGCATTGAAAATGGGTCGTGGATGGGTATTCCAGCATGACAATGACCCAAAACACACGGCCAAGGCAACAAAGGAGTGGCTCAAGAAGAAGCACATTAAGATCCTGGAGTGGCCTAGCCAGTCTCCAGACCTTCATCCCATAGAAAATCTGTGGAGGGAGCTGAAGGTTCGAGTTGCCAAACGTCAGCCTCGAAACCTTAATGACTTGGAGAAGATCTGCAAAGAGGAGTGGGACAAAATCCCTCCTGAGATGTGTGCAAACCTGGTGGCCAACTACAAGAAACGTCTGACCTCTGTGATTGCCAACAAGGGTTTTGCCACCAAGTACTAAGTCATGTTTTGCAGAGGGGTCAAATACTTATTTCCCTCACTGTATGTAGCAGAAAAGCTGTAAATTTTTATATATATATATATAAATATATATATACGTGCCCTCCGAAGAGGGGGGTGGTGGTTAATAAAAAATATATAATTTAAGTCTCCATGTACTGGCTCCATAGATGCATCTGTGAACACATACACACATAGTCACTGTTCTATTACCAATGGCAGTTAGGATAGGTGATATCTGACACAAACAGTCACTGTTCTATTACCAATGGCAGTTAGGATAGGTGATATCTGACACACATAGTCACTGTTCTATTACCAATGGCAGTTAGGATAGGTGATATCTGACACAAACAGTCACTGTTCTATTACCAATGGCAGTTAGGATAGGTGATATCTGACACAAACAGTCACTGTTCTATTACCAATGGCAGTTAGGATAGGTGATATCTGACACACATAGTCACTGTTCTATTACCAATGGCAGTTAGGATAGGTGATATCTGACACAAACAGTCACTGTTCTATTACCAATGGCAGTTAGGATAGGTGATATCTGACAGACACAGTCACTGTTCTATTACCAATGGCAGTTAGGATAGGTGATATCTGACACACACAGTCACTGTTCTATTACCAATGGCAGTTAGGATAGGTGATATCTGACACAAACAGTCACTGTTCTATTACCAATGGCAGTTAGGATAGGTGATATCTGACACAAACAGTCACTGTTCTATTACCAATGGCAGTTAGGATAGGTGATATCTGACACAAACAGTCACTGTTCTATTACCAATGGCAGTTAGGATAGGTGATATCTGACACAAACAGTCACTGTTCTATTACCAATGGCAGTTAGGATAGGTGATATCTGACACAAACAGTCACTGTTCTATTACCAATGGCAGTTAGGATAGGTGATATCTGACAGACAAACAGTCACTGTTCTATTACCAATGGCAGTTAGGATAGGTGATATCTGACACACATAGTCACTGTTCTATTACCAATGGCAGTTAGGATAGGTGATATCTGACACACACAGTCACTGTTCTATTACCAATGGCAGTTAGGATAGGTGATATCTGACACACACAGTCACTGTTCTATTACCAATGGCAGTTAGGATAGGTGATATCTGACACACATAGTCACTGTTCTATTACCAATGGCAGTTAGGATAGGTGATATCTGACACAAACAGTCACTGTTCTATTACCAATGGCAGTTAGGATAGGTGATATCTGACAGACAAACAGTCACTGTTCTATTACCAATGGCAGTTAGGATAGTTGATATCTGACAAACAAACAGTCACTATGTTGAAGTTTGAACAGGTCAGACTAAACCTACCTAATTCTGTTCTCCCCATCAACAACCGTTGGTGAGCAGGCAAGAGGTGAGGCTGGAGGTGAGGCTGGAGGTGAGGCTGGAGGTGAGGCTGGAGGTGAGGCTGGAGGTGAGGTCTTTGCCAGAGCCCCGTTGATGGGCATGGCAGCATAGATCAGCTCCTGGCCCCTCATCAAAGATACTGGTCGGTCAAACACAAACACACACAGAGCGCTGATTACATTATCAATGGTGGTTGTGATTAGCCTGGTGGAACCAACCTGATCGCTGTGTTCCCCATTCTATTTCACTTCAGATATCATAAAATGTGAAGTGAAATAGAATGGTGAACACAGCGATCAGGCTGGTTCCACCGGGCTAGGTTATGCCCTGGACATTATATGGTGAACACAGTGATCAGGCTGGTTCCACCAGGCTAGGTTATGTCCTGGACATTATATGGTAACACAGCGATCAGC